AGAGAAGAGAAGAGAAGAGAAGAGAAGAGAAGAGAAGAGAAGAGAAGAGAAGAGAAGAGAAGAGAGAGACAGAGAAGAGAGGCAGAAGCGAAGCGAACCTCAGGCTGGAAGTTGAAGACCAGCCTGCCTCAGCTGATGGGGGAGGGAGTGGGCGTGGCTTTTCTCTTAAAGAGACAGAACAACCATTACAGAGACCTTGTCATTTTCTACTTCGCATGTAGATTAGATCCACATATGTCTCTCTTAGGGTTCTCGTTGTTGTCTAGGTTCAGACGTCTGCCATATAGTTCATGCTTAGTTGGTCTAAACAGTCACTATGTCCTATGAAATTACTCTTCGGCAAATTTCATCTCCATCTTTCTGCTAACAAAACTAGCTCAGAGCTCTCCTATCTTTAGGTGTTTCCTCATAATACTATGTAAGAACAATCACATTGTTATGCAAAAATCAAAACCAATCAATTTATAATAAAAAAAGACTTCTAGTAGTTCCCTATCACCCACAGTATACAGTCTAAAATACCTAACAAAACTATCATACCATCCATAATCTGAACTCATTCTTATTCTTCTACCGTCCTGGCGCTTGGTTAGGATGCTGCCACCCTGACTTGTGGTTTAGACTTAGATGTCTTGAACCTCTTAGCCTCTGTGATCTTTGGTGCCTAATATGTTTTCCTTGCCTCGTCTTGGGCCTGGTGTTTGTTATGCAGCCTACAAACCCCAGAAAATGCCAGCTTCCATCCAAGGCCTCCCCTGACTGTTTCCATCAGGATAGTTTTCACTTGTCAGATCTCTAGTTATGCTGACAGCAGCATGGGCCCATGCCTTATTTTAGTCACAGTGTCGACCTAAATTTTAATGAATTTTAGTGGGTGAGCCCATCAAGATATTTATTCTATTCAAGCCCATTGCTTTCACTTTAAAAATATAATTTTGGAGGGTGCTAGGCACAAATCCCAGTACCTCACACTCGCTAGGCAAGCCTTGTACCTATATGCTAGTCTCTTAGCCCATTTCTGTCTTCCATCAAGGAGGAAAGTAGGCTATGCAGGAGCTGGAGTCATCTTGGATTATTAATTTCACTATGGACTGCCAGACCTTGCAACTTGGGGAAAATAATTTCAATTAATAGCTGTCATGTCTCTTGTTTCTGCTCTTGCTTCTGTACTGGCAAGTTCTGAAGGAATGTTTCTTTCTGTGGAACATGAACTACGGGAAGGGATAACCTCAAAGCTGGAGTCGACGTCTTATTGAGGTTGTTTGATTGTACTATTATTCCTGGAAAGGCTCCTAGCTTTGCTCTTAAGCAAATGGATATTGTTATAAATATGTAAACATTGCAAATTCTGAACTTCTGTGGGGTAATGGGTCATATTAGTTGACGTACTTTAGAAGTCCTCTCTTTAGAAATGTAGGTAGAAATGTAAAAACAAAAGACACTGGGTGTTAGAATATGTGGTGATTCATGAGGTGTATACCTTTGAGAAGTTATTAAATCCTGAAAGTCACCTCTTAATCTCATTGATGTATTTACAGGAATTGCTTATCTGTTTGCCAAAGCTTATCTTGTTTCCAAGAAACCACAGTACCTGGACACATGCATACGGTGTGGGGAGCTAACGTGGCAGAAAGGCCTACTGAAGAAGGGGCCAGGAATTTGCCATGGTGTAGCCGGCAGCGCCTATGTCTTCCTTCTGCTGTACCGTCTTACAGGAAACTCCAAATACATCTACCGTGCTCAAAGGTCAGCTGTTTTCCTGCGCATATTCTTAAAAATCCTTTTTCCCCTTGTGATAAGATCTCACATGTCTTAGGCTGGTCTTAAATTCACTATACAGTGATCAACGACCTTGAATTCCTGACTCCTTATGTCTTCCAAGTTCTAAACTTACAGGTGTACACCACCACACCATTTTATGAGGTGCTAAGGAGTAAAACCAGAGCTTATGTGCTAGGCCAACACTCTGCCCACTGAACTACATTCTGAGTTCTAATTTTTGAAATATTAATCTAATTAATTTTCTAAGCAGGTAATGTAGTCACCTGGTTTCAAATGTGTAAAAAAAGGAGCATAGCATAATAACCATCCGCCCCCCCCCCCCAGGCCATTTAATTGACTTCCCTGGAGATATGGTCTGGTGTGTCTTCCCAAGAATGTTCTCTGCAAATATGGGAATATATATCAAATTTTATTTTTCTTATACAAATGATAGTGCCTTGTTATCTTGTTGATTATGTTATATGAATACATAAAGGACCTCATCTATCATTTTTGTTAGTCTTACTAAAACAAGAATATTTGACTCCAGTTGTTTCCAATATTTTCATTCTAAACAGTGCTACCTTTTACACTGTATGAATAGATTATCCTTTCCTGCCTTCTGTCTAGGAGGGAAGTAGCCTATGCAGGAGGCAGAGTCATCATGGATTACTAATTTCTTACACTGTGAACCTCCAGACCTTGCAACTGAAGGGAAATAATTTCTAATTTCTATTAATAGTTGTCGTTTCTCTTGTTTCTTCTCTTGTTTCTGTAGTGGATACTCCCTTTGTTAGCAAGTAAATTCCTAGAAATGGAATTTCAGAGCTAAAGGATATATATACGTGTGTGTGTGTGTGTGTGTGTGTGTGTGTGTGTGTATGATAATACTAAATTAGTCTCTGTAGTTTATTTCCTGAAGCATTGATACATATGGAAACCAGATGTAGAGCAGACAGCATTGTTTTGAATAGAAATAACTCCATACTGATTAACTGTATACACTGTGCCAGGAAGACTATGAATAGACTATAAATAAACTGGTAGAAAACTGAGCAGTCCCTTTGAAGGCACTTGGAAGCTGTCTGTGTAGGTCGTCAGAAGAAGTCTTGGTTTTCTGGGTGGCACTTATGTCTGCTGAACTAGGAGGCTTCTCAGCCATCCCCCATATAATTTGATTCTCTTGTATCTCTGAGTTGTCACTTAGTCGAGGCCAAAGAATAGTCCCTCATAGTTGTGAGAATCCTTTTGAAAGGATATACCCAGAATCATATTGGTTATGTGAAACAGTGCCCATTTTTCAGGTGTGTTGGCTGGTTTAAATAAGTTAACACATGAAAATTATTTTATTTTTTAAATTTTATAAACTTTATCATAAAAAATTGCAAATAAATATAAGAAAATCATATTGAATAATGCCTGGAATATATAACCTTTATGTAAAGATTAGCTTTTGTTATTACTAAATTTGAGTTTCATCATTTCTAAGTTTTATCTTTGCATATATATACATTGCTCATTTCTGAAAATGGTATGAATAGTAAAGTGAAAACTGTTGTTTCAAAAATGTACTCACTGTTTCTCAAATCAAATTAACCAATTTTCTCAATAATTCTCAGTTAATGTAGAAGCCTGAATGGTAATTATAGAACTAAAAAGAATAGACAATATTGGCTACAGTACAAATAAAAACTTAATGGTTCTATAAAAAAACTGAGCTAAGAAAACCTCATCATTTATAAATTATTACTTTTAAATAATAATTTATTTATAAATTTATTTATATATAATTATACACATTGAGTTAGTTCTTAAGTTACATTATTTTCTGCTGTTTAGAAGTACAAACTCTTATTTAAATGACTGCATATTTAAGAAAACAGTTGATAGAAAATCAGTAACAAGTGGAATTGCAATTTATTTCCTCATTTATTTTAAGCTGCCTGCAATAGTTTCAATGGCCCACAAAAGATCAAATGAGTAATTACTCTTGATAGGACTCCTATGGTGACTGCAATAATCTAAATTTATGACAGTACCAACTCTCAGGCCTCACCAGCATCAGAATTGGTGATTATTTTTGTTGTTAATGACAAATGGATAAGATAGTGAAAAACAATGATATAAGTGGGGGCATTGGAAAGGCTGGGAACTACTATACAATGTTGTTTAGTTAATTTAAATAAGAAAATGAAAGCCAAGAAGAATGTTTTTCATCAAAATTTTAGAGATCAGTGACTTGTTTTAAAAGCAAATTGTCTTAACAGTAATGCCTCATAGTTGAATTTACTATTTGATGGCACCATTATGAAAAGTTGCTTGCATCCTCCCATTCATCTTCATCCTTTGTTGCCCAAAGCAGATTGTGTAAAATCCTCACATTTATTTTCAGCCTCTGTGCTCTGTCACCTATAAATGAGACCAAGTTCAGAAATAATATGCTTCCAGAAACACAAATATTTAGATTTTTTTTAAAGGAACAGTGATATATAAGTTTGCTTTGGTTCAAGATAAACAAAAGTAGGATGATTTATGTGACTTTTTCACTTATAATTATTGGACAGTGGAAGGAATAGAATTTCAGAAAATACTAATGTGTTTTGATTAGCAGCTCCTAAAAATAGTTGGATTTGTTTGGCAACAAAATCTGTTGCAAAACACAAAGACTTATATAACTGATCTGGTTTTTTTCTCTAGAGAATGGAGTTTTCTCAAATTAATTACATAATTCTGAAAACAAACTGACACTAAAACTAATTTCACAAAAGGAGAAGAGCATCCTGTAGTTGGTCACAAGGACATATTAAAACTGTTCGTGTTTTCTTTTTCTCTTAGGTTTGCACAATTCTTGTTCACCGAAGAATTCAAAGCTGGTTCACGGGTCCTTGAAAGCATATACAGCTTGTATGAAGGCTTCTCTGGCACTGTTTGCTTTCTCATTGATTTGCTACAGCCCAATCAGGCTGAATTCCCTCTCTTCAGCGTCTTTGTTTAAAGGCTCCATCTCCCGTTGCAGCCTGGCAGAAGTCCCCTGAGATTTCCTGAGCCTCCTCTAGGCAGTTTCCCGCATAATCCACATCCAATGGCATCACAACTATGAGCCTTCACATTGCTGCCAGAAGGATGAGCCCAGCCTTATGAAGAAAGCGTGATACCAGACTGGAGAGGGAGCCTGCCAAGCAAAGATGCCACAACTCATCTCAAAATCACAGATTTGATGTTTCCGGGGAGAGATGTAAAACCGAAGATCAGAGAGAAGGCGAAGGGAAAATAATGCTTTCCAGTTGGTGAGACTGAAGGCAAAAGTGACCTGGAGATGGTGGGGATAGACTGGCAGCCCTTTGAAAACTGGAGAGCAAATGTGACCATCTGGCTATACCCTCCACCCTTAAATTCAGAAGTGAAGACAATCTAAATAATCTAAAATATATAAAATAATTTTGCCCTCTTAAAAACTGTTAGCAGGGATCAAGTGTCATGAAGAAGGGCATGAAAAGAAACCTTGATTGTCCTAGGCCTTCGCTTGCTGAAGTTGATGATTTTTTTTTGAGTGGAGATATTTGAATATGTATGTGGGTATTTTTAGAATCACTATCCTAAGGCACTTTAAAAACATCATATCATAACTTACTTTAAACACTGAAATTTGAAGCTTCCTTAGGTCTTAGAATATCTCTTTCCCTAGTTTTGTTTTCTTTCCTAGAGCTCATTATAGTGAGATTCCGAGCAGGAAGGATTGTAATTTTAGTGACAACCTAAGCTTAGTAGCTTTGGGGTGTGGCTTGTTTAGCATGCACAAGTCCCTAGTTCCATGCCTAGTACCATAAACAAACAAAAAGGAAGACAGGAAAATTCTTATCTAGCAAATAAGTGTTGTTGTTATGTGTTGTCTCAACTTGAAGTGTGACCTGTATATTGTATATGTTAGTAATTCTTCAAATGCCTTCATCTTTGTAATTTCTATGAAGCTATTAGACTGTAAAATATGCTCTCGGTGAAAATCATTCATCTCAAAGATCAGGGCAACTACCACAAAGGTAAGTCATTTCCATATTTCATAGAATACCATGAAAGACATGGAATGGGGAAAATAGAAGTGGTTATTGAAAAAATGTCATTTTATTTTATCCTATTAGATGAAGAGTGGAATAAACTCCCTGGCTGGTCACCTTACTTTGCAAAACAAGGATATGCTAGAGCTTTACTATCATACCAGTTGATTCTAGTTATCATATTAAGTTTACTTTTGCTATAAACAAAAGTTATAAAAATGCTTCAAGCCAATAGTGGATTGCTAAACACTAATAGAAGCAACTGTCACTTCCATACACAGAATATGAGTTTACCACAGTCTTGGTATTTAACCACTGAAATTCAAGCATCATATTAAAGAAAACTGTTGTGCTGTATAAGATGTCATTGATTCAATAGTCATTAGTTATTTGGATATGTATATATGCTACATTTATTACCATATAATTTGAAGCAATATTTGAACTGTAGATTTTGGGAGGAGTTAGGTAATAATTTACTGCCTAGAAACATTTCTGTGTGTGCTGGCTTGTGGAGCTGTATGAACCAATGAATTCGTATGGGTTTGTATGAAAGTTATATGTGTGATCCTATTTTGGAAAAGAGGATCTCTTGTATTCATAAGATTCTCAAAGAATCTTACCAAAGAACTGTCTTTTTATATTTTATGACTCTTTGTATGTTTACAATCATTAACACAAGCTGGGACAAAATGATTTTTGCAAAATGTATACCTTGTTGGCTTATAGTCCCATTTCACACCCTCATATTTCAACATATAAAATTGGCTTTAATTGCTCATCTGTGAAAATACTGTTTGGAGTAAAACTTAATTAGATTCCAGAAGTTCTTTCTTGAGGAGGGCAAACACCTTTTAGAAGCCCTAAGAAAGATTCTGTTTACAGAATGTTCTCCTACTGAAAGGACCAGTAACAGCTGCTACAACATCTCATTTAAAATGCACTTGACATGGGCCCTACAGGCTAAAGATAACCAGGCAGAATTAGGCCTTTTACATTAAAGGAATACATGCTTTCATTGTGTCTGAGCAGCCCCTCAAAGTGTGTTAGGTGATCTCCCTAAAGACAGAGCTAGGGGAACAAAACAAGGTTTCGAAGTCTGGTTTCTCCTTTCAGGGTCATTTATTCAGTATTCTAGATTAGAAATATGCCAGCATCACAGCAGACAAGTCAGCCCCTCTCTCAAAGGAACCTCCATTTAAAATCTGCCCACCTCTTCCATCATTCATTATATGGACCGGAAAACCAAAGGGCTAGGAAATGACGCATAGATTTGTTGTATTTGTTATGTTTCCAGGAGCTTTAGAAAAACTGGACCTACCTTTTAAAGATGCAATAGAGTGACTGTAACTTTGTGCAGATCATTGTGAAAAGCTCGCTATTTTTGTATGTCGTATGTAAAAAGGGGTCATGTTTGGGTGTGGTCTTTCTGAAGTACCACCTCAGTAAATTTGAAACAAGGATACACTTTTTTTTTTGGCTGTTAAACCTATCATTGAAACTTTGCATTTTCCTGAAAGAAAAGCACCGTTAGTTTGAGAGTCCTCTTCTATATTACTTTCCCAAGTTCCCAAGAAAGGGATGAAAGACACATATTTTCAGCAGGAAAGTAAGTCATGTCATTTATTCCATAATCAATTTCATGTGTAGTAACATTCTTAATGTTAAAGCATGATCCCTCTTGAAGGCTACTGTGGCATTTTTGGAAAGGTTTATTTTTATTATTTTAATTACAATTATGTGTGTGGATATGTGCATGAGAGTGCTGGAGCTACAGTTGTGGATGACTCTGAGGCACCCGATGTGAATTCTGTGAAGGGAAATCCAACTTGGGTTCCCAGAAAGTGGGATGGGACTCCATGCTCTTAACCATCGAGCCATCCCTTCAGCTCTCACTGCGGCATTTTCACCACTGCTCATGTTGTCATACTATTTACTATATAGGACAAAACCAATCCTGAATGCTGGGTGGAGATGTTTGAGGATACATTGAAAGAGCCTTAACAGTAAGGAAGGAGACACATTATACTTCAATAGCAATATATTGTAAAACACTGTAGCTTTGTGGCATTAACACAGTTACATGCCTTTCTTTCTACCCTTAACTGTCTATATTTAATTTACCCTATCTCATTGCCACTTTACCTCTTTTCAGTTTGTAACCTGGTATTTGAAGAGAACAGAAGTTTGACAGTGTATATTTCCCACTGACTTTTTTCCAGGCAATTGACCATGTTGTTAAGATAATAGTATTCAATTATGACAATTCATTACATAGAACAGCTTACTTGCTCTGTAGTAAATTCCATCTCTTCTTTTTACTTCTTTAGTTTTCTTTGAGATTTTAATCAAAGTGTTATGCAAATTGTTTTGGTTTCTGTAGAGAGTATACCTCAGTAATTTCAATGCAAAAAATATGAGTTTGGGATTTATAACCAGGCTAAGAAAGTATACACAAGCTGAGGATGTAATTCTATAGTAGAACACTTTTCTAGCATGCATGCTGCCCTAGGCCCTAGTCTCAGCATTAAGAACAAAAAGACATTAAAGAAAAGACACAATTAAAAGGCAGTAGTAATGTCAAGAGAACCATGTTAGAAATCCTAAATCCTTGTTCTGCCACTTTTTTGGGGGCACTGTATATAGTTCATACAGTTGTCATAGGAGTTATTTGTAAATATGGTTTTTTTATTATTTAAAAGGCTTCTATGTTTTAGGTTCCTATTATGTGCACATAAAATTATGTTCAGTTCATATTTAAAAACTAAACAAACAAACACATGTCATATGACGATGCAGTGCTTGGGGCCCAGGACACTAGAAGGGTAAATATTAATTTTATATTCTACTGCCAATTCTGACTGTAGTGTTTGTGCCTCAGAAGGTTCTGACTTGAAAGAATTTCCTCCAGAGGAATGGGTGGTGTAGTCTAAACGCTCTCTTTAACACAAATATTTTGCTGACTGAAAATAAAGGAGTCTGGTGCCAATAACTGAAGAAAAGGAACATCCAGGCCATAACTACACAGCAAAAAATGAATTGGGAAATAGGATAATTTAACACTGATTTTGATCTGTATTTTAATTTGGTCATCAGAGGTGTATTAGCTACAGGAATAGAATTATGCTGCTTGTGAAGCCTCCCTTAAATTATTATGCCTCAAATTAATAGCGGGATGACTAACCGTCACTTACCAAGGTCATGTGATCTTAGCGTAAATTTGGCTAGAGAAAGGCAAGCTAGAAGGCAGGATCAGGGCTTGGGGGTTGCTTACCAAAGCGTGGCATCTGAAGATAATTTGTACATGTGCATTTAATGGGACTAAACAAGTATAGTCTTACCACTGGGACTTTTTTTCTTGCTTACCGAAATCTCTTTAATCCTAATCCACCTTCAAGTCAGCATGTGTCATCACCTGTCTCTAAACATCTCATTCTGATAATGGATTTCCCCCCATGTCTGTTTAATCACAGGCATGACCTCTTTTCTCCTGGGAAGGCAGGCTTCCTCCGTATCTTTGTCCACATCTGTCCTTAGCTAAGAGCACGGGACTCAACAAGGCTTGAGTCTACTTTAGACAGAAGGACTGACCTCGAGGTCAGTAGCAACCAGAATTGGGACTATTCTGTAGTCAGATCACAAGTACAGGGCAAGCTGCCACAAGAGTGCTGTGCAATGAGAAGAAGGTGGTGGCCACATGCATCCTGCTTCCACTCCATAAACAGGACTGCCCATATTGCCTTCATGTCTTTTATTATGTCATAAAAGACAAAAACCGAAGTAGTTCCTACACAAACAAAGTCTCTCCCCTTATTTTATAAATTGAAAGTGTTAATGAATTGGGACCTAATGGGTGATGCTGTTAAGATATAAAAGAATATTCATTTTCATCTTCTTTAAATATTGAACCTTGTCCTTTCCATTCAGTTCCCTTCGCAAATGACAAAGTCTCTCATCTTCAGGATTCTCTGCGTCTTCATTTCCTTTTAGGGTACCTGTTATTCACCCATTCTGAATTAACTTTGAAAAGTTATTTAAATGGAAATCCCAATCTTCTGTGGTTTTGTTCTGCACTGGGGTGGAAGGAGGGCCAGTGAATTGTATGACACATGAAGCAGACTTATCTTTGTACTCAGAATCACCTGAAAGGCAAGATACCATTTTTGTTACAGAATAATTACGTACTAAATTGAAAGTAGCTGAAGATCTATGTCTTAAAGATCTTCCTGAAGTACCCCAATACACTCCTTTGTGTTATGCCTTCAGAAACAATGAGCACTCCAAAAGAATGGAGATGGATAAAACACCTGTGTGTATGTGTAAACAGAATTTCTTCATATAGAATAATGCAGTTCTACTGAAATTTTCTTCATATATTTTGTGTGATGTGTTCCTCAATGTGTAATCTTATATTGTGTATGAAGTAGCTGTGACTTAGCAATCAGTATAAAAAAGGTATAAAATCTATACTTGTCTACTGTCTTTAGCAAATGACCTTATTACAACATATTTTAGTGGGATGTCTGTGTGTAAAGGGCAACTGCCAGTAAAATAAATTGTGTCATTAAATTTGATTCAAGTTGAATGTGGTAATACTTATATGTGGATATATTCAAATAAGCATATTGCTTCAAATAATCAGTCTTGTCTCTTTTAGGGCTTTTAATATTAGAGGTGTCTTCTGAAGACTATAGCAGCAGTAGACTCCTTTTGCTCTTGAACGTGCAGTATCATTTGTATTATAGAGATGTTCCAGCGGTAAGAGTGGAACACTGTAATAGTTTGGTCTCAGAATCTGGTATAGGCCACTCCAGTCTCTTGGATGTGGTGGCATCAAACTAACAGAATTTTTAAAATGGGTTTTGTAGAAATCAGTGAAACCTGATGAGAAGCCATAAATAACTAGGGACTGGTCAAACATCACATACTAAAGTGATAGAATATACTTCACCAAAAGGGTTTTCATTTTTGCACAATTTCCAATATTTACAAAAATATGTTTGTGTCATCATTGGGTTAAAACAAAGTTAATCTTCCTGATGGTACATTTCATAAGCAGCAAACCAGTACAATTCCTTAATCTTTTGGGGCAATACCCCAAATAGGGAATTGTCAGTATAGTATGACAACTTACTCCTAATTGTACCTAAGAGTAAACAAGCACCACAGTTTAATGTACTATTGAAGTTTAAAGACATGTTCAATAAATTAGTATTATTAATAAAGTTGTGCTCTTTGCTGTATTTCTCCACCAATTATGAATAAAAAATTATAAAAATAAACCAAATGATAGGAATAAGTTATTAGTACTTTAAAATTCTTTTAATTTTTATTAACATTAAATTTAACACCAGTTATCTGTTGTATATAGCAAGAATTTTGAAATACTTGCACACCAATTGAGAGGCTTGGTAGAAATGCCTTTTTGCCAAAATCAAGTTCTTTGACTTCTTGATAATTCTTATATGTCTGTAGGGGTACTTTGAAGGGTTTGAAAGATATATCAAGAGCAGTTCTAATCTTAGTGCAGAACATTTTGCTAATCATTTTACTATATTACAAAATGTTATACTATGATATTTTATAATAAAACAAAATTATCAAGTATTCTGGCCTATTACATATTATTATACCCAAACATCACTTTCTATAAGTCTATTACTGAGTACACTTATTTTTTTAAAAAAAAATCACAGTGGGTATTTTGATCCTAGTGAGGAAGTATAATGCAATATCTGACATTGATTTTTAATGAAAATCCACTTAAATGTAGGGCAGGGAAACTAAGCTGTAAACGTGTGTGTTCATCTGACTGATAAAATGACAAGTGATAATTTGGAAAGGTCAGCTTATAAATGCTCATCAGATTTGAGCTTTTGTTATCTATTGTTCCTGGAGCAGGACGACAATTGTCAGTTAAATTTGCTTCAGCTTCACTGAGGGGTTTGCTTACAGTCCACTGCCTGGTGTAATGAAATCTCTTCTGAAGCAAGACTGACTTAGAAACTTAGTGATGCACCTTACTACTTTTTAGCTGCTGTTATAATATCAAAACACTGTGATCTTTCCAATGTGTTTTCTGTATCAGTTTTGTACTGTAGAAAATAATCTGCCATAAACTGCACTTTACTGTTTAAAGTGATGTTGCTGGCTTATTGCACCACTGCTCCACAACATGGTCCACTTAATAATGTAAATAAAACCTGTGATAATCCTTTGCCTTAAGATCTGATGCTAAACCGTTACTGTGTTCTAATTAATTATTCGTAGCTACTCATTAGTTACCCTTTAAAGCTAATGATGGTATCAAATAAAATATTAAACAAATACACCGTGGAGGGCTGCTGGTGATTCTGTTTGTGACTGTGTGTATCTGAATCCAGGACATGGTGGCCTGCTGGGCTCTATAAATAGGCATTCGTAATCCTTTTGGAGAAAGGGCCTGGTACTTCTCAGGCCTTGGCTGAATTCTCCCCTCAACCCTTATAAATAGATTTTCTGAGGTCACTTTAACAACCAAGTCAAACAACTAAACTTGTCCACACCTTCTCTCTTCATTCTTGTGGAAATCTTACAAATCTTTACATCTTGTTTGTATTTACATCATTTTCCAAAATAGAAAAATGCCCAAGATGCCTGAAAATTAAAATCACCCAATTGCTTCATGGAAAATGATCTTAGAAGGTGTGAAGGAGTGTGTGTGTGTGTCTGTGTCTGGGGGTGGGGTGCGGGGAATCCATCTTGATGTACAGAAGGTTGTGAAAAGTTCAGCGGGTACACGGGATGTGTACAGGATAAAACCAGACAAAACCCAGCACTGAGAAAAGGAAGTAGACACAAATTCCAACCTCCAACCAAGAAGATATTTGCAATTGATATGTTCTGTTTTTGCAATTGAGTGTCAATGAGTACCTGTCAGCCACTCTCCAGGGCAGGTCTCATGGTCAGGAGTAGTGGGCCAGCACAAAATGGACTCCATGTTTGTTGGTTGGTTGTTGTTTTAAAAAATTATTTTTGTACTTTTTGTTTCATTTTGTTGATTTTGACATTTTTTTGTCATACTGTTTTTTATTTTACGTATTTTTTGTGACAGAGATAGCATAAAGTTGGGTGGTTGGGAGGATGGGGGGGTAGGGCAGGGGAAAGAATATGTTGAAATATATTGTGTTCAATTTTTTAAAATAAACAGTTGAGTGAAAAAGAATTGTATTAACCTTAGGGGTTGGCATACCAACAGAGGTGTGTGGGGCTGGAAACTGCTTCCTTATTAGGCTCTGGTCTTTGACCTGCCTTGAGTTAGTCACAGCTATACAGCAATATATTTTGAAGGCAGTTTTATCTAGAAAGCAAAACTTCGGCTCACACAACTCTTTCGATGCTTCTTCTGTCTTTCTTCTGAGAAAGACAAAGGACATGCTCAAGAGTATCGTTGAAAAGTTAAAGGTATTTCTCAGTTGAGTGCATGACCAAACACTTGTGCTCTGAAAACCTTCTCAGGGGTTAAGGCCCTCTTGGAATAGCAGGAAAACCTGAACTTTTGACCATGCTTTTCTTCTGTCCAGAAACCAGACGGATCGTGGATCAGGAAGGAGTTCAGACTCCCTCACCCCCAATTCTGGTTTCTGCTGCTTATGGTTTATCAAAGTCACTCAAGACAGCTCAGACCTACGGACTCTAGGACCCAGAGGCTGCGCGCGGGCCACCTTGGTTGGCGGCCTCCAGGCGTGCTCGGGCATCTGCGGTCAGAAGGCGCGGGTTCGCGACCCGCCCGGAAC